TTAAAGAAAACGACCCCGCAGCTAAATAATGTTAACTCAAATGGCCTCCAGATTTTCTTAACAGTTTTAATGTTTGGTTAAGATAATGAACAGTCGTATACACCATGATATCCAAACAAATAAACGTACGTTAAGCAAACTATGTATATGAATCGATACTCTTGCGTAAATGGAAAAATAATGCCTCCATAAAAAATAGTCAAAAACATGATCATTTTAACATGGAACTTACCTTGTTATAATAAGCTCCAGACAAGACGCCTTACTGCTGCCTCCACTCCTCGGGCAAACATGTGACACAGTAGCGAAACAAGACTGCGTCGGCCGTGGGGCGGGGCTAATGACCGGGCCCAAATAATAAACCTCATGATAATTTAACCTTACAACATAGACATGCCCGCAACAGCGGAGCTAACAAGTTTCATCACCACAGAGAGCGACTATGTCATTCTGAAATCCATCTGACATGAAGTACAACAAACCAAGAGAAGAACAGAAACATCAGGCTACTGGTCACTAATGATGACCAGTAGCTGTCTGATACTGGTCAAATAGCTATGACTGTCTGATGTTGATTTCTAAATCAACACCAGACTGAGTGTTGATTTAGACTGTTGGAGTTAATTTAGAAATCAACACTGGACTGTATTGCTTTTTGTTTAACTCTTTGGAACTCTTTAGTGAGTGTTAGGGAAACTAACACTCATGTTGTTGAATTAACTCTGTATTTTTAATATACAACACTTGCACTGGAAATCTGACACTTCCGAATTTGCTGTGTACTTTCTTTGCCAATACAAGTAAATTAAGCATTTCTTTAACTTGCAAATTTAGTTATGAACAAATCCAGGCTACATTCAGAATTATTCATCTTGTAAAAGGTTCAAGGATTTTATGTTGAAAATGTTTTTTTTTTTCCCAACTAACCCTTTAAGTATGCAGTGAGAGATTTGAGTCTTCAGATCTGAGCCTTATTTGGAGCATGACGGAATTGACTATGCTTGTAGCTAGATGTAATTTCAGCTCACTGATATTGGAAACTTTTGTCCTGCAGGCCATAGCAATTGTCTTGGGCTTTCTGGTCGTTGTTGGCCTCATCATCTTACTGGTGTTTGCTGTCAAGACTCGCTCACTGATCCACCGCTGGGGCCAAGACCGAATTCTCTGGGAGGAAGTGAAGATTAACTCTGCTCCCCACAACAGTGTTGGAGAGTGGGTAAGTAGGAATGGGATAGAGTTTGTTAATCTAAAAACAGATCACTTTACCTAAAATGTTATTTTCTGCTCAATTTTAACTGCAAACTCTTAGGAAATTTTTTTAAAAAGGTGAAAGGTTAGATAAGTTTTAATTGTAACCTGCTGGCTTTATTTCTTTGTGTATTGATGTAATACGATGTTGATATGTGTAACTCTTAAATAGTGATCAGGATCAATAGACACCTTCAATATTAAGTGGAGAAATTGCAGCATGTATCTCAAAACCAATTAGAGTCCTGAACCTACCTGTAAAGGGATATTTCCTTTTCCTTTGCTGATCAAAACTTTACCCGTCGTACTGTTTTTCTCAATTTTTTTTCTAGAATATATTTATTTTGATAACAGTTTAGACATCATCAATAGCAACACACACAAGTTTCAGCTGTTTTTTCACACACTGCTGCCCTACAGGTAACATTTGAACCTCAGTAGATACAATAACGCTGAGTAAAGCTTTATATAGTCAGTAATAGTCTATGTACCACAGTGGTGTTCCCAGTCTTTACTGATTTCTATCAAAGGTGATCCCAGCAAGGAATAGTGATAAACAGATTTATTTTGTGAAGCCTGAAGACATTGGTTCTGATAGTGAAAAAGCACAGTGCACACAATATATATATTTTATGGCTCAGACAGCCAGGAGACAGACAGGAGAGTAGTTGTATAGTAAAGTAGGTAATGAAAGCGGGGGGAGACATCCGTGTCAAGGATGAAGGCTTATGTGGGTTGTGCTCTACCCCTGTGCCACCACAGCATCCCGGCGCAATACAAGCTTTTGTTTGTCAAGTATAGTCCATGGAGGTTCTAATTAAAATGATCTGCTGCTAACATCTCATTGCAAGATTTTACAGCACATCTTGGGGGGGGTCTAGAACCCTCCATGCCTTGATGTAGCAAAGGGAACCAATACTGGGCTGGTTGTAATGTTGGTCACGATTAGGCCTGTCATGATAACAAATTTTGCTGAGTGATTAATTGTCTAAAAAAATATTGCAATAAACGATAATATTGTTTCAAGACCTTTTGACACTCATTTCATGGAAATGACTAATAATGCATGTGATTTCCTGCCATAGATAGATGCACTTTATTTTCAAAAGAACACATAACACTGGAACTGATAAAGTAAATCAGTTCCAGTGTTAATGGATTCTCAGTCTCCATTAACAAAAAACGTACTTGAATAAAAACTAAACAACATGAAGCCAAAGTGGAAATAAATAATGCATTCAACCAAAAGAGTGCAGATTATTAAGTCTGTATACTACAGTATATTGCCCTTCAGTAATCACTAGATTTAAATGGAGAAGATGGGCACATCCGACTACCTAATGCAATAGTTCACACTACACAATTTTTTGCCCCTATTTTCCCCTTATGACAGTCTTAGAATGTTGGCTGTTCTAAGATTATCGCTGGTGATTTTGTAACCGATCATCATGTAGTGTGATTTAGATCGTTGTGGCTCCGATCTAAATCAGGGGTTTTTCCCGACAGGGAGCTTAATGCAGCCTGTTGAACGTGACAGGTAGCCAATCA